ATGAAGAAGGAGGAAGAAGAGATAGCGCCGTAAAGGACAGGATGGTTAGGTATAGAAGGGCGCAAAGAGGGGGGAAGATAAAAATCACTTGAACACAAGACGATAAAGACCGAGTGTGAGAGAGATCAAATGAGGTGAGATAGCAGAACAGGGACAGACAGGACAGACGACAGACAGACAGAGTGGGGAGAAAGAGAGGGCGAGCAGAGGAGGTGGGCGGAGATGGAATGCAGAGACAAGGACAGAGAAGGAGGACAGAGAGAGATGGAGAGAGATGTAGAGAGAAGAAGGAAGAGAGAGAGAGAGAGAAGAGCAGTGTGTGTGGAGAGAGAGGAGAATGAGAGAGTCAGAGGAGAGAGAGACAGAGAGAGAGAGAGGAGAGAGTGTGTGTGTGGTGAGAGAGAGAGAGAGATGAGAGAGGGGAGAGGAAAAGAGGGGGGGTGGTGGCCAGAGAGAAACGACGACGAAGGTATTAGCGTGTTGATTGCCGTAAGATTGCTGACTCGCGGGCCGCATGCTCCCCGCATGTTAACACAATTATCCACAGAATTGCAGTGATATGTTCCTTAGCTTAATTCTCCTGGCCTGACCTCTTTCTCTCCTCTCTCTCTCTCTCTCTCTCTCTCTCTCTCTCTCTCTCTTCTCTCTCTCTCTCTCGCTTATCTCTCTCTGCTCTCTTTCTCGCTCGTCGTCTCCTCTCTCTCTCTCTTTCTCCCGCTCGCCTCCTCTCTCTCTCTCTCTCGCTCTCTTTCTCGCTCGCCGCGCGCTCTCTTCTCTCTCTCTCTCTCTCTCTCATCTCTCCTCTCTCATCTCATCTCTCTGTCTTCTCTCTCTCTCTCTCTGTCTATATCTCAGCTCTTCGATGCTCTCCTTCGGCGGCGCGCTCTTTCTTCCCCTCTCTGCTCTCTTCTCTCTGTCTCCTCTCTCTTTTCTCTCCCTCTCGTCTTTCTCTCTCTCTCTTCTCTCCGCTCTTTCTTCTCTCTCTCCTCTCTCTGTCTCTTCTCTCTCTCTCTCCCTCTGGTATAATCTGAATACGAGCACAGCAGATTAACCGTGTCTTTTATCATCACCGGTAAACCGTCATTCGTGTAAAAGGTCATGGATTGCATTGAAGGGGCAGTTAATGGCGTTGACCGATATCTGTGCGTGTATCGGCTAGCGTTTGTTATTTGCAGCGAAGTACGACGAAAATAGCATGCAATGCGTTCACCGTTGCCTATATATTCCCACGTACGTACACAGGCGCATGCACGCACGCACGCACGTACGCACGCACGCACGCACTCACGCACGCACGCACGCACACGCAAACGCAAACGCAAACGCACGAACACGCGCGCACGCACGCACGCACGCACGCACAAACACACACACACATACACACGCACACGCACACACACACACACACACACACACACACACACGCGACACGCGCGCACACACACACNGTTAGCTCATCGTCACCATGGCAGTATGGAACCCCCGGACTCCATACTCTCCTACCTTCCTCTCTATCCTCCTCCTCCTCCTCACTTCTTCTCTCGCTCCTCTCTGCCTACTCCTCTAACTTATCTCTCTCTGCTACCATCAGGTTGTGATAACATGGCTCATCGTGGGAGTAGAGTTAGCCATCATCGTCACCATGGCAGTAATGGAACCCCCGGACTCGTTCTCGTCCTTTACCGTTTCTCTATACTCCTTCGCCTCCTGCCTCTCCTCCTCTCTCAACTGCCCTCGCCCTCTTCACTCTCTCTAAGCTACAGTATCTCTCTTATGCTGACATGCAGGTAATAAACCAGAGGCTAGATGAGCAACCTAGAGATTTGTGATACATTTGGACTGCTCGTGGGCGAAGCTTTTGATAGGATTTGAGGCATCATCGTCACGGGCGAAGTACATGTGAACCCCGCGCTGACTGCCAGTATCTTTGCCTTACCCGTTCTGTCGCTCCTCCTCTTCCTCCTCGTGACGACTCATCTCTTTAAGACTTATCTCTCTCTGCTACCGTCAGGTAGTGTGATACATGGCTCATCGAGAGTGAGGGCGAGATAGAGTTAGCGCGATCATCGTGCTCTGGGCGAGATCATGGAAGCCCGAGGACTCGGACATAATGTGAGACCGTACCTTCTCTGCTGCGTTTTTTTACTTCGCGTTCCGCGCTCCTGCCTCCTGTATGCGTGCAGTGGACGAGAGAACCATAGGCGGTAAAAGCTAGAAGAGCTAGCACTCCGCGGAGCGCTACGGTGAGGTTTAGTTTCGTACTGCCTCCTCTTCCTCATCTTCGGTCCCTAACTTATTCTCTGCTCGTGGAAGTACTGTACCTCAGGTTTGCTGATACATGGCTCGTCGAGGGAGATGACGTTAGCCAATCATCGTCATCATGGCGAGTACTGGAACCCGGACTCCGTAGCTCTCTATCCTTCCTTGCTCTCCTCTCCTGTCTTCTCCTCCTCATCGTGCTACTAACGTGTATCTTTCTTTTACTGTGCTCCAATCTAGGTTATGAATAACATGGCTCATCGTGGGCAAGTAGAGGTTTAGGCGATCAAATTGCGTGAGATTGATGACGAGTGAATGGACCCCGGATCGGGTGGCTGGTTACGTGAACGCCATATCCGCAGGCGAGGTCCGTCTCGTCTGCAACACATCTACCCTGGGCGTCGTAGCTCCGCTAGGATTCGACCTTCTGCTGATAGTCATGTGCACGATATACGCCGTGAAGACGCGCAACGTTCCAGGGAACTTCAACGAGGCGAAGTACATCGGCTTCTGCATGTACTCGAGTTGCATTATCTGGCTGGCGTGGGTGCCGCTGTACTTCGGCAGCGATTTCAAGGTGCTGACGCTGTGTCTGTGCATCAGTTTGAGCGCCATCGTGTGTCTGGCGTTGATGTTCGCGCCGAAGATGTTCATCATCTCATGCATCCGGAGAAAAACAATCGAAGTGCGTTCGCGACTTCGAAGCACGTGAGATGTCACATCGGCAGTTCGCACGCCGGCGGAAGCAAGCCGCACGTGACGTCATCCGGGGGCGGAAGTTACGAGGACGCTCGAGGCGACCCCGTGCGGCTGGGCGGACAGAAGTAGGTGGCGCTGCGGGCGCGCGGGGGGGGAGCGTGTTATGATTTATGTATATTGTATAGCTTGTATTATAAACATATTAGCATGTGTTTGTTTGCTGTTTACTTTGGTGTTTGTTTGTTTGTTTGTTGATTGTGTTTGTATCTGAATTATGTATCTGTTATTATCTATTATGTAGATAGCGCGCGCGTGCGGGAAGGGGGAGGGGAGGCGGCGAGCGGGGAAGGAAGATGGATAGCAGGAGTAGGGGAGGGTGTAATTTGAGGGTGGCTGTGTGGTGGAGGGGGGGGGGAGGATGTAAAGTGTGGTTGTAGGGTGTGGGTGTGGGTACAGGAAAGTGGGAGGTATGTGCGCGAGAGAGCGTGTGAGTGAGAGTATATTTGCATGTTTTCGTTTGCTTGTTTGTTTGTTTGTTTTGTTTTACTTAGTTGTTTACATGTGTGTTTTGTTTGTTTATTGCGTTTTTATCTGAATTTATGCATCTGGCATTTGCGTGCCCTGCGTGCGATCACGAGTTGCGTGTGAGCTTATTTGCATGTATCTATCTATCTTTGTTTGTCTATCGAAATAAGTTAATCGAATTTCATGATTTATATGAGAGTGGATTTATTTTATGATGAATTTATTTACGTAAACCGTGTAAACCTGTCTAATTCTGTTTGCCCAGCTTAATGACGATGCTAATCTGAGATTTTATCGCAATATCTCATGCTTCCCAAGTTTGTTTTGTGCGTGCGCTGAGTGAGAGTGCTGTAGCCCTTTGTGCTGTGTGCTGTGTGTGTGTGTGGTGTGTGCGTGTGTCTGTGATTGTGGTGTGTGTGTGTTTGTCGTGTGTTGTGTGTGTGTGTGCTGCCGTGCGTATGGATGTGAGTGAGATGTGTGTGTATGTTTGCGTGATCGAATGTGTGTGAATGTGTAATTGTGGTCTGTGTGGCGTGGTGTGTGTGTGTATGCCGTGTGTGTGTGTGTGTGTGGCTGTTGTGTGTGTGTGTGTGTGTGTGTGCTGTGCGGGTATGTGTGTGAGTGAGTGTGCGTGTGTGTATGTACTGCGGCTGCGTGTGTGTGTGCGTGCAATGCGTTCGTGGCGTGGGTGTGTGTGTGTGTGTTGTGCGGTGTAGGTTGTGTGTGGATGTGTGTGTGTGTGGTCTGTGTGTGTGTGTGGTGTGGTGTGTGTGCGTGTGTGTGCTGTGTGTGCGTGTGTGGTGTGTGCGTGTGGTCTGGTGTGGTGTGGTTGTGCGTACAGCGTGTACTGAAGCATCACAGCTGTGCGATCAGTATAACGCATATTTCTCTCTCGCTCTCTCTGTTCTCTTCTTCCTCTCATTTTACTCTCTCTCTCTTCCTCTCTCTCTCCTCCTCTCTCTCTCTATCTCTCTCTCTCTTCTTTCTCCTCTACTCTGCTCGTCTCTCTCTATTATATATATCATATATATATATATATTATGTTAATCTTGTCTCCAGCTTTAGCAACTCCGCGCATGTACCAGCAGAAACGCAAGGGCGGAACACAAGCCGCTCATTCTGGAAGGGTTTGAACAAGCTGAAGAAACAAGAGAACACCACAGCGACGTTTAACAGCAACCCAGGAGCGAGAGCTGGAGTCCAGGAAATGGGAAGGTAACGCGAGCGTGGTCTGCGGGCGTGCATCGTGTGCGTGCGTGCGTGCGTGCGTGACGTGCGTGCGTGTCGTACGTGGTGTACGAACACTCCTGCACATACAGTAAACGTGAGCAAGTACGACGCAACATACCGCGCGTAGGCCACACACACAACGTATATAACAACACACCGCACACACATACACACACACACACCCACACAACGACACACACACACACAAACATACAACACCACACACACAAATATACACACACACATCATACACCACACACACACACACACACACACACACACACACACTACATAACACACAACATACACACACACACACACAATCATAACACACACACACACACACACACACGCCACACACACCACACACACACACACACGCACACACACACACACACACACACACACAACACACCACAATCACACATCACACACGCACACCGCACACACGCACGCACGCACCGCGACACGGACACCACACACACACACACACACACACACATACTCACACACAAACACACACACGCACACACACACACAAACACACACACGCACACACACACACGCACACACACACGCACGCACACACATACCACCGTGTTGATGACGAAACATTATCCCTCCAGCGTTAAAGTTAATACGGCACTCACCGGCTATCAGCGTCCCATGGCTCTCCCGACCTAGACAGTTTATCACCGTAAAAGATATATAGTATACAGCTGATAAAAACCCATCAGTAGAATTAATGAAACCTTTTCTCGATAAGCGAAGAACACGATACATGAACGAACAGAACATACAGAAACTTGATGAAATTATGAGGAAGAAAATATTCCTCATAACTCTGGCAGTTTTCACGTATCGATTTCATTTCCCCTGTCAATTATGGCTGAGGATAAATAGTCCAGTCGGACGCAGAAAGTAAATACAATCATTAGATCGCTATGTCTGTGCTGGCATTTTCGGCATCGAAGACTTAAATCAGTGTAAAAAATGAATACTACATTTCGCGTGATTAAATCCATTTAGAAGAAATCGATTCGCAAAATCGCATAATCAAATCCATTTAAAAAAACGAATGCATAAAATCGCGTAATTATATCAATGTAATGAAGTCGAATACTCAGAATCGTTCCACCAATTTGTATTATTTGCAAAACAGAATCATTAATTTCCCAAAAAAAACTATGAATAAATTCCGTGAATGAAAGATTATAACAAACAAAATAATAACGATAATAATAATAAATACGTAGAATTGTCTTCTATTACCGACACACAAAAGCAATAAATTAACCCCTGCAGTGGGGGTGATGACAAGTAAAGTAACAGCCGCCTGTCTGCGGGGAAGCCACCGACGTCCCTCCGTCCACGCGGTTACTCCGTCCGCTTTCACCCCCGCTAAATCGCACACGAATCGTTCAGGTTGGCGATGGGTAAGCCAATAGCAGGTCAAGCACCGAAGACAGAGGCGTCAAAGCCGCCGATGCCGCGCGCCAACACCGAACCGAACCTAGACGACTTGATCACCAGGAGGTATGACGCCAGCGCCATCTGTCGACGGCGCGGGTACTTGTCGGTGGCGGCTGGTGGTGGCTGGTTGGATATCACTCTATCTCGCGCGCGCGCTCTCTCTCACTCTCTCTCTCTCTCTCTCTCTCTCTCTCTCTCTCTCTCTCTCTCTCACTCTCTCTATCTCTCTATCTCTGACTCACTCTCTCTCTCTTTCCTCTCCCTCTCGCTCTTTCGATCCCTCTCTCGCGCTCTCTCTCTCTCTCTCTCTCTCTCTCTCTCTTCTCTCTCTTCTCTTTTCTCTCTTGTCTCTACTCATCTCTCTCTTCTCTCCTCATCTCTCTCTCTCTCTCGCTCTCGCTCTCCTCTCTCTTTCAATATTACTTGCACTGCGCCATACAATAGCTGGGTTTTACTGGTCCTTACATTCGGTTTGCGCTACGCTGACTACCACGCTATATAACAACAATCCACTAACACTATCTCCTGAATTAGACACTTGTGTGGATAGCTCGGCGTGGCGTCGCTGCGTGTTCCGGCGTCATTTCCGACTCTAACGAACTAACGGCCAGACGTTAACCGCTAACCCGGCTAATGTCTCTCTCTTTCCTGATTTTCTAATGTCCGTTCTCTCTTCTCTGTCTGTCTGTCTGTCTGTCTATTTATGTCTGTCGCTGTCGTCGATCTATCTATCTATCTATCTATCTATCTATCTAATCTATATCTAGTCTATCTATCTATCTTATCTATCTATCTTCTATCTATCTATTCTATTAATTCATCATCTATGTATCTATCTATCTATCTATCTATCTATCATCCATCCATCATCCATCCATCCATTCCATCCATCCATCCCATCTATCCTATCTATCTATACTATCTATACTAATCTATCTACTATCTATCTATTCTATCTATCTATCTATCTATCTAATCTATCTGAATCTTCTAATCTACTATCTATCATCTATCTATCCACCCATTCTATCTTCTATAGTGCTAGCTGCTCTCTCTCGCGTCGCTTCTCTCTATCTGTCTCTCGTCGTCTCTCTCTCTCTCTCTCTCTCTCTCTCTCTCTCTCTATGTCTCTCTCTCGCTCTGTGTGTGTGTGTCTCTCTCTGTGTGTGTCTCTCTCTCTCTCAGTAATTTGTTTGTCGCTACGAGAAGTCGTTAGCGAGAACGAGATGAAAGAACGTGGTTGACAATCACAGACATAGATTGCTGTTTAGCGGATGTATGCGCAGATAGATGGGGTTGCGAGAGTTTCCGTCTACTCTTGCCGGCGCCGGTAACGAGAAATGAAATCGACAGCCGTTGTTGAATGTTTGCCGCCATGGGGCGGCCGTGTTCCCGCGCCGACTGTCCGCCTCGCATCGCGTTTCCCTCCAGGGGGCGCGTCGTCGAATATATCGTAAATGGTTATGACGTCATGCATTAATAATGTCATATTGTTTGAACTGAATTTATCACCACATAAATGCTTCAGCGCTTTTAAATTGTCGTGTAGATATTTTGAGATTTTCTTTTGATAATAGTCACTCATAACTATTTGAAATCTCTGACATCGATGTCTTGTACTACACTAATCCTTAATACGCTTCATTTCACTGGAATTTCTTTACGTGGTGTAGGAGATTTATTATGTATATATATATATATATATATGTGTTACATATGATTAATTAATATTACTTGCTTACTTTTAAATGAATAAATTTTAATTCATAAAATTTCATTTCTTCAAATTAATTCATTCATATTAATTGAATTGATTAAAATTAGATTGATTATTGTTAATTTATTAAAAATGAAAAAATAATTATGAATAACTCAATTAATTATCACCACGGTTAATTTTTACTCTACCGTAAAAATTAACCCTGTTATATATACTAGTCTACCAACCGAATGAACTTATTTGATGAATTATTACAACGTTGAATATTCACGCTCCCGCAATAAACCTTCTCGTTGCCTACCTGCTGTATCTATCACATACTTCTCTACATTGATACTTATACGTCTTTACCTTTTGTTCTCCCCACAAGTCTGTGTGAATGCATATATCTAACACATATCTATCTTCTCTCTCACTCCGCGCGCGTGTATGAGAATACATATATCTAATACATATCTATCTTCTCTCTCACTCCGCGCGCGTGTATGTGAATGCATATTATATCTAACACATGAATCTATCTTCTCTCTCACTCCGCGCGCGTGTATGTGAATACATATTATATCTAACACATGAATCTATCTTCTCTCTTACTCCGCGCGCGTGTATGTGAATGCATATTATATCTAACACATGAATCTATCTTCTCTCTCACTCCGCGCGCGTGTATGTGAATGCATATTATATCTAACACATCTCTATCTTCTCTCTCACTCCGCGCGCGTGTATGTGAATACATATTATATCTAACACATGAATCTGATTCTATCTT